AGTCAGAGAGACACTGCCAGCCACCGCCGCCACCAGGACAAGCAACATGTAAAGATACCAGTAAGCTACAAGCCATGTGTCAACTTATAGATTAATAGAAATGGGTTGATTTAAGATAGAACAGTTAGCAAGAAGCCTGCCACGGCCATACAGTTTGTAAGCAATATAAGTCTCTGTGTTTACTTAGTTGGGTCTGAGCAGCTGTGGGACTGGCGCGTGACAGATTTGTCCTGACTGTGGGCCAGGCAGGAAAACTCTAGCTACACTGGTCTACAGAGCAAGTTCTAGGACAGCCAGGGCTACACAGAGAAACCCTATCTCCAAAAACAAAAGAAAGAAAAAGTAATTGATTTTGGACTGACTAGGAAATCCCTGCTGGCTAGCATTCACAGTGCTGGAAGGTTCTGTGCAGGCTTTTGGGAGGGGAGGGGAGCAAGACACATCATTGGTTTTATCCAGCACTGGACCCTGCTTGCTGTACTACTGATCTAGTAGGCAAGATGTGCCCTCTATGCCTCATGGTGTGGGGTAGACTTTTACTAGAGAAACACAACACACACATATACATTGGCTCACCCCAGAAAGGGAACTTGGGACAGACCAAAACAACTATTGTACCAAAGTCCAATATGGTGAACCAGTGGGGTTCTTTATTGGGGTTACTAACAGGAGTATGGGGGAGGGGTTGCTTAAAAGGAGCAGGGATGATTCAAAAGCAGCTGCATCATCAGAAAGCCCACCCCAACACAGGTGAGGACTCCTAAAAAGTACAGTCCTGGAGCTCTCTGCTACCTTAATCCGAACAGCTCTTTCTTACCTCTGTTGGGCTGGCCATAGTCTATACCCCATCTGCTCCCTTTCACACTGTTGGTATGGCCCCCATGAATCTTCCAAACGTGTTCTCTAGGACAGGCGACCTTTTGTGACATTTTGCTCCCCTCCTGAGGCTCTTGGGTCTTCCCTTCCTTCCTGGAAGGAATGTTTCCGTTTGGAGGCAATGTTGCAAATGCGAGGCACACGCCATATAACAGCCCAGTAGTGCTAAAGCTGTGGAAGGAAGGAACAACCGCTCTTAGTGGATTTGAGGCCTGCGCCACACACGGGAGGACATTAAGGCCTGGGACTGAAAACATGGCCAAACCCAAGGCTGGGGAAGGCAGGCCCTAGGGGAAAACCTAATGGTATTGTTTTGCCAAACAGCAGTGCTGTCCAACTGCCTTCTAAATATTTATATCCATAGATCTGAGCCACTCTCGACCTCACTAGGGAAGCTTCTTATTGCAATAGGGAGAGGTCAATGCAGAGACTCATAACTGTTCAAAATGCTCAGAATAAGTGGCGACTGAATGCTCCGTTATGGATGGGATCTCTGTCAACCCCTGCCTCCTGAAGCTCAGGGAACATTCTGGAAGAGGGGGGTGGAGAGAAGGGGAGGAGTGAGGTGAACAGCTGTCCTCTGGACATGACATAGCTGTCGCACAGGAACTCACAGCAGCTATGGGGTCACCTGCACAAAATCACACCAGTCAAAATTACAGCATGAGAGGAAGGTACCCAAGGCCCCACCCCTAACTGAGGACCTACGGGCAGTTAGTAGCAGGTATGAAAGGGAGAGTCATTTCTCCCCGGGTTGGTGGGTACTGTTAGATAATCAATGACTCTGTGAATGGTTCCATCCCCATATGCATATGGGCTTCCCTAATTAGACTCAGTGGACTGGGGGGACTTGAGATTTGGAAGGAGATGTGTTGAGGGGGTTCCTAATGGAAGTTGGAAGGATGGAGTGGAGTGAATATTAAGATACATTGTACACATATACAAAAATTTCAAAGACTTCTTTTAAAAGAAGGAATATCAGTTCTCAAATGAAACAAACTAGGATTGTTCTGCACTTTATTATCAAAATGTGGCACATAGTAATTGCTCATTAAGCATTTGCTAGGCAATTGATTAAAGCAAGTCTGTAGAAATAAGACAAACACTCAACATTTAATAGCATCAGTTAAACAGTAATCTGTGAAGCTAAATAATACACAACTATTAAAAAGTTTAATTGTAGGCCCAGGGATATTGCTCAGCAGTTTTTGTATGATTTTTTTTGTTAATTCTATTTTCCAATATTAAAATATTATTATTACAAAATTCAGGGTTTTTTTTCACTTATCTCCCCATAAGAAAATATCTAATACCACATACCCACCAAGCCAAAAAAAAAAAAATAAAGATGTATCCATTAATAATGTTAATCAGCTCTGAGATGCATGCCTGTAATCCCAGCACTCAGGAGGGGAAGGAAGATCTCAAACTCTCAGTCTCCCTGGGCTACATAGCAAGATCCTACTTAAAAACAAAAATGAGCCGGGCGGTGGTGGCGCACGCCTTTAATCCCAGCACTCGGGAGGTAGAGCCAGGCGGATCTCTGTGAGTTCGAGGCCAGCCTGGACTACCAAGTGAGTTCCAGGAAAAGGCACAAAGCTACACAGAGAAACCCTGTCTCGAAAAGCCAAAAAATAAAAAAATAAAAAAATTTTTGACAACAATAACAATAAATACTGATACATACAAATACACACTTGCCTCTATCTGGTTTAACCTATTCACCTGTACAACTGGGTAAGATAGTTCGTCATAAGGTTGGTGTGAGGATTTAAGTAAAGAATTCCATAGGTACTTTTTAGAAAGTGTGGTTGGGAGGCAGAGGCAGATGGATCTCTATGATTTCAAGGCCAGCCTGGTCTAGATAGTGAGGTCCAGCCCAGCCAAGACTACACAGTGACTACACATCTACACATCTCAATCAATAAGTGAACAAAACTGTATGACACAGCAATACCATGACTTAGCACATGCCAAAATGACTCGACATCCTACTCCACAGATACTTGCTCAGCCGTGGCCATTGCTGCTCTATTCACAGTAGCTGGGAAGTGGAAACAACCTAGATGTCCTTCAGCAGAGACATGGATAATGAAAATGTGGTACACGTACCCTTTGGAATACGGTTCAGCTGTAGAGAGAAGGGAAAGCAGAATGTCTGAAGGTAAATGGATGGACCTAGAAAAGATTCTACTGAGTTTGGTACCCCAGACTCAGAAAGACAAATGCTGTGTTTCTTTTTTGTCTATGGTTCCTAGCTCCAAATCTTCAGATGTGAGGATATACATGGAGTAACAGCAGAAACCAGGAAACGATAAAGGGACTGTGTGATCGGGAAGTGGAAAATGGAAAAATGGGGAGGGAGATTTCAGTTGAGTGGAGGGAAGGAGGTCAATACAGAAGGAGAGGGAAGGAGGAGGGACAGGTAACACCAAGGTTTTTTGATAAACTCTTGTGGAAAGTTATTATTTTATATTTGCCTAAAATTATACATAACACACACACACACACACACACACACACACACACACACACGCACGCACGCACGCGCGCGCGCGCACGCGCCTGCGTGCACACACACATTATGCCATTTGAGCTGACAATGCTCCCCACAAAGACCAGAGACTAACAAAACCCCCAGTACAAACCATGAGAAATCTCTTCAGTGCTTAGTCAGGGACGTCCAAGTCACTCCCAAGACAACACAGACTTTATCTGTTCCCCGTGGTTGCCTCTCAGAGGTTGAGGGCAGGCCCCTATTGCTGAAGACTGTCTGCTCAGGCTATGGAGCTCCCGCTGTTGGAGCTGGGTCTAACCCGAGAGCTCCCCTCTGCAGTCTTGCTGCCATGGCACCAGAAAACACTGTGCAAGCTGCCCAGGGAGGGAGGCAGTTACAATCCGCCCCAGCCGGGACACCTCTGCATCACAACAACAGCCAGCACAGACAGCAATCCATAACGGTACGGTAAGTCTTACTCACGTGTAAGACTCAGGCTGCAATACATTTATGCATATAGACGTAACAATAATGATTTTTTAAGAGGCTATTAAATTGGGGGGAGCTACGTGGAGGGGTCTTTGGGGGAACTGGAGGGAGGAAAGGGAAGGAGGAAAGAGAAGTAATTATATTTTAATTAAAATGTATTAAAAAAATTTTAAGTTAACTTTTAAAAATAGTATGGGAACACTACAGTGCTAGCAGTTTCAAACGTAATATTGCCTCTAACATGTGTGAGAGAGGTGCACACAAAAGCATGGGAGAGTCAGAAGGGCATGACAAGCTAAAGCCGAAAGAACCTTCAAGGTAAGAAATTAGGAACTTGGACAGTGAATCCAGGAAGCCATAACAATTAAGTTTCAAACCGAGGAGGAACAAATGAGACTTCACAGAGTGCAGAATAATCCCATGGGGCCTGCAAAGGACCTTAGCAAAAGCACAAAGACCCCCAGGAAACCGAATGCAGGCTAGAAGACCCGCACACTTAGGGCAGGCACCTTTGATGAACAGAGTGTGCTTATCTAGCAAGACGCCACAGGAGGACAAGTCATTGCAGAGGTAACAATAATAATAGCATGTTCTGAGAGAGTTAGAAATTCTGAACAACGGTGTTAAGACAACGAGGACACGCAGGACCCTAAGCTCCGCTGTCCTAGAGGCTGAGACCATTATAGACCAGGAAAGATCTCAGCCGGTGAATGGCTGAGCAGCGCCGCACAGAGGCTGCCACGGTAGCAGAAGAGCCCTAGGAACTACAATTCCCAGAGCACCCCGGGAGCGGAAACTACAACTTCCAGAGAGCCCAGGAAACGACACTCTCGGTAGTTTCCGCAGATCGCCCTCTCGGACGGCCTTCTATCCGACCTATCCGGACACCTGGCACGTGACTCCCGCGTGAGCGGGGAGCGCCATCAGCGAGTGCCTGGAGGCGGGGCTCGAACCTCATTGGTAGAAAGGCACCACGAAAAGAAGGAGCTGACGCTGGCAATCTCGGAGTGATCGGGGTGGATGGGACAGGGGCATAGCGAACTAGACTGCTCACCAATCAGCGTTCAGGGGAAGGAACGAAGCGCGATGGTTCTGCGGTCACATGCCGCGGGGCCCAGTGGGCGGAGCAGTTGCTCAGCAGCCTCTCGCTGCTTCCTGTTTCCGGTTTCTGGAGCGGGTCGCAGAGCGGCGCCTTGGGGAGCGCTGGCCTCAGACAAGAACCTAATTCCCGAGTCTGCGGCCCGCTGCTCTCCGGCTGCGTTTCCCAACCCCAGGGCCACATTCTTGGGGGCATCTGAGCTTCGGCTGCTGTGTTTTCCGTGACACGTGAGTGTGGGGGCGTGGGAAAGGAGGCGGGCTGGGGTCCTTGCACACCCCTGCGCCGAAGGAGACGCAGTCCAGGACTCGGGCTTGGCGGTGCTTCGAGCCGAAGACCCTGCCAGGGAGCCGTAGGGCCGAGTGGCGGCGACTGGCGTGAGGACAGAGCGTCAGACTACCAGGAGTGAGGGGGAGGACTTCCAAGATCAGAAAGGGATTTAAGATGTTTTGAAGGTGGGGGAAATTAAGTGCCAAGTGTGGAGACGTGTGAAGTGTTACTGGATGTTTGTTGCAAGAATTCTGACTTGTATCGTGGACGTAAAGTGGCATCGTGACATGATTTTGGGTAAGGTATGGCTTTGAGCAAATGAAAGGCGAGAATTTCCAGGATCCTTGAAGTTCGAGGAACATGTGGTCGCGTGGTGTGGAAAAGAGTAACGGAGGGATTGTCCTGTGTTTCTTCTTGTAGGGAGTTTGAAGCATAGAACTACTTCCTCGAGGCTCTTTCAGCATTGGGCTTTCTGCCAGTTCAGACCGATCTTCCAAGTAAAACCGATTTTCCAAAGTAAAACTTCCATTAGAGAATGGAAAATGGCCATGAGTGGAAAAGTGCGAACAATGGTGTCAGCAGTTTGCCAATCCCTAACTTAGTCATTGGCTGTCCTGTAAAGGATGATGTTTCCACATTGCCAATAGATATGCCTCTACAGAATAAGGAAACTGAAGATTTCTCAAGATCATAAGATCCCATTTCACACATCGAAAATGTGTGTACTTGAAGGATCTATTTGCACCATATTAAAAAGGGACTGTCCAACTTGAACTTCATACTGTTCTCTTCTTGTGCCCATGTTTATCAGAAATTTGCCAACAAATGCCTTCACGTCATTAGTCATCCAGGTTGCTCTAGTAACTTAATGCTTGTGTGACCTAAAACAAGTAACTCAGCAGGCATCTGTAATCATCAGTCCCCTCATCTTACTTTCCCAAGAGATGGAACTAACATAATGTAGGTAAAGCATTTGGGGTATACACAATACTGAATCAAAAAGAAGCAGCTCAAACTTACAGTCAAATCTTCCTCCTGGTTTTTCAGGACAAAGTTTCTCTGAGATTCCCTGGCTGTCCTGGAACTCTTTCTGTAGGCCAGGCTGGCCTTGAACTCAAGATCCTCTTGCCTCTGCCTCCTGAGTGCTGGGATTAAAGGCGTGTGCCATCCCTGCTCAGCATACAGTCAAGTCTTAAACAGAAAAGAATTTAAAATTACTCTTCTAACTTTTTGAACAAATAAGCAAATGACAAGTCATTCGGTTCATCTAATGCCTACCACAGCTTGTTTTAATTCTTCATCCCTTCCCAATTTTGTGATGTTCTTTGCCCTCATTTGGGAAGAGAAAGCAGCAACAGTTAACCAATGAGGAACTAACTCTTTATGTCAGAGTGCAGAGCACTCATTCTGTGAGAGCATCCCCCCAAAATATGCTCCTGGGGAGAAAGAGCTTTCAGAACCCAGAATGTTAACCTTTTAAATTAGATCCTGAGAGAACTTTAGGAAAGTGGCACAGAATCGGTTAACAAAAGTACCTCTCAGTGATGTGACTGGTTGAGCTATGTGTTGAGCAATAGGTGAGTTTAGGGAAGGTAAGAGCTTAAGTCTGAGTTCTTTGTTACACTCTAGTTAACACTGTGAGGAGTTGCATCCCAAACAATTATGAAAGGTGTGTGTGTGTGTGTGTGTGTGTATGTGTGTGTGATGGTGATACATGGCCCTTGAGCTCTGCAGCCATTTATCTTGCTTACTCCATCAGCTGTGTCGGTGGTGTTTTTGTTGGTTGTTTG